TTACTTCTAAGACTTGTAACATAAGAAGGAGATTCTGTTTCTGGGCAACTCCGAATTACCAAGATCTCATTCAAGTGGCCACGGAGGCCACCAGGAAGAGTAACAGGAGAAATGGGCATGGGCTGAGCTGCTTTTATACTTAAGTAGGGAATGAAGGAAAGGGAGTATAATAAGGATACTACAAAGGAGTCATGTGAGGTGTAGCAAGAAACTGGAAGAGTGTAGCCCATAAGAGCCAACAGAGGAAAGGGTTGCAGGGGCAGGATGGTCAGCGATGCCAAATGATACCATGCGGTCGATTGCAGGAGCAAGACGATTGACAATGCCAAATGACACTGTGTGGTCATATAAATTAAGCCTGAAAATTCCCAATGGATTTGTCCATTTGTAAGTCCTGTGTCACTTTGGTGAAAGTATTTTCAGTAGAAATTTTGGGGAGAGGTCAGATGACACCAGATTTAAGGAACAACTGAAGACAAGGAAGTGGAGAGGGAGAGTATAGCCTACTCCTAGAAGCTTGGTTGGAGGCAAGAAAAATCAGTAGCATGGCATATAGGATTCAAATTGGATTTTCTTTTTAAGGTTGGGCTAGTTGATCAAGTTTATATACTGAGATCAAAGAGTAAGGGAGAGGAAAAAGTTGAATATAAATGAAAGAAAGAGATAAGTGAAGGAGCAGATTTCCCAAAGAGGCAAAAAGGAATGAAATACAGATCACAGTGAAAGGATTAACTTTGTATTTGAAGACAGACCTTGCCACTTCTGAAACAGAAAGGATGGGAGAGATTCAAATGTTTGGAGGGGACAGAAAATTGAGGCAGTTCCCCCATGGCCTTTTATTTTTTTAAAAGAGATGGGGAGTCTCTCATTCCATTGCTGAGGCTGGAGTGCAGTGCCATAACCACAGTTCACTGTAGCCTTGAACTCCTGGGCTCCAGAGATCCTCCTGCCTCAGCCACCCAAGTAGCTGGCACCCATAGCCTTTATTTTTTCTGTGAAGCAGAATGAGGGGTGGTGGGAGAGGCTGACATGTGGAAGGGTTGCTGGGTATACTGAGGGCTCTGCTGAGGAGACAGTGAATTTATAGGAGCTCTGTACTGAGAAGGGGTGGCCTGCCCCTCCACACCTGTGGGTGTTTCTCGTAAGGTGGAACGAGAGGCTTGAGAAAAGAAATAAGACACAGAGACAAAGTATAGAGAAAGAGAAGCGGGGGCCCAGGGGACCGGCGCTCAGCTTACAGAGGACCCACGCCGGCACCGGTCTCTCCGTTCCCTTAGTATTTATTGATAATTATCTTTACCATCTTAAAGACAGGGGAGTGGCAGGACAATAGGATCAAAGAAAAAGAGGAAATCGGCAGTAAGACATATGAACAAAAATCTCTGTGACATGAATAAGTTTAAAGGAAAATGTTGTGCCTTGAGATGCATATGCAAACATCTCCATAAACCATTTAGCAGCATTGTTTCAGTCTATCACATGGGGAGAAACCTTAGACAACACCTAGCTTTCTTAGGCAGAGGTCCCTGCGACCTTTGGCCGTGTACGTGTCCTTGGGTAGTTGAAATTAAGAGAATGGTGATGACTTTTACCCAGCAAGCTGCCTTCAGGCACTTGTTTAACAAAGACACATCCTGCACAGCCCAAAATCCATTCAACCTTGAGTCACCGCAGCACATGTCTCTTGCAAGGACAAGGTTGGGGGTAGGGTCACAGATGAACAGTATCTCAAATACAGAACAAAATGGAGTCTCTTATGTCTACTTCTTTCTATATAGACACAGTAACAGGCTGATCTCTCTTTCTTTTCCCCACATACTGAGCGCATATTAAGTTAGCTTAAGCCATTTATTCTAGATAAAAACTGACTCCTAGTCCCCCAAGATCAGAGGGCCTCAGAAAGTGCCTGGGGTAGGGTGTGGTGGCTCACACCTGTAATCCCAGCACTTTGGGAGGACAAGATGAAGGACTGCTTGGGTTCAGGAGTTCAAGATCAACCTCTGCAACACAGGGAGACCCCATCTCCACACACACACACACAAAATTAATTAGCCAGATATGTTAGTGCATACTTGAGCCTTGGAGGCTGCAGTAAGCTATGATGACACCACTGTACTCAAGCCTGAGTAACAGAGTGGGTGACACCCTGACAAAAAAAAAAAAAAAAAAGAAGAAGAAACGGGGGTGGGGGGGCCTGGGAAGCTGCCAGGAAGCAGGCAGTAGTCTCACCATTTCTGGTCTCTGCCTCTCCATGCTTCATTCTGTGTCCCCAGATGGTCTTTTTTCCTTTTCTCATTCATCATAGTAGGTGGGAGGTACCATAGCTCCTAAGTCTATGTCTCTTTTGCTTAAGAAACCAGTCCAGTTAGAATCATAATCTGTTAGCTCTAATCCCAGATTTTCAGGAGAACATCTGCTTCACACAGCTTAGATCAGGAATCCACTCACAGTTCAATAAACTGCAGCTAGAGTGCTAGGGGTCACATAAGATGAACATGGCCCTGGGGCCTGTGGATCCATAGTGTGGGTGTGGAAACTATAATTCCCACAGAATAGGGTTCATGGGCTAAACTAACCTAGATGGTGTCCACTTAAGTGTGCAGGATTCGGTGACGTCCTTTATCCTGGTTTAGGATGGGAGAGTAGAGAAGGTAGATAGCTGGCATGACCAGGGGTGTGATTTTTACAGAGTCAGTGCAAGCATATTAACAAAAATGTGATTAAAAGTGACTGACCAAGGATCTGGACTAAGTAGGAAAACAGGTGAAGCCTGGAAGATACTGATAAACTATGAGGTGGCTGAGATTCATGATATAGAAGAGCTGGTGGTATGCTGGGAATGGGGAATTCTAAAGGTTATTGAATACTGGAGTTGGACTTGTCACTCATGGGCACACTGCTTATGTTCCAACACTCCCATACACACTTGGTTCTCAAAAGCTATTATGGGGCCCTTGATGGTGAGTTGTTTTAGAGAGCAAGCCCGACTCCTTCCCCTACTACTCTGAACTTCTGCACTCTGAAACCAAGGCTATACTGATCCCTCACTTTTTTCAGTTACTATAAGCAATAGGTGTAACAAACTCATACCGAGACAGTGTTGTGGCCCAGGCTGAGTGGCAAGGTGAGCAGAGGGGACATCAAAAGGGTAAGGAGTTAGAAAGGAGAGGCTGAGAATGTGCAAATGTAAATCAACCAACAACAAAAAGTTAACTGGGAAACTTCTGAGACCAGCTTAGGAGGGATAGACATGACATGTTTATATCATTCAGAGCCAAAGCCTTCTTTGTGTGTACTGTGTCCAGCTACAAAGAGGGAGTGAGGAAACAGAGTAGGTCTAAGATAAGCCTTTTCCCATTAGTGCTGATGGAAAAGAGGGTCACGTGGAAGCCCCAAGACTGATAAGGATGAAGGAGGTCTGGCCATGTCTAGGGTTAATAACCATAATAACCACAATTACAGCTTCCATGTATGGACTACTTCCTAGTCCCAGGTACTCTGCTGGTTACTTGACATGGCTTAGTTGGAATCGTATGAAATTGAAGGTATTGGACTGTTTAGAAACTACAAAAATAGCAATTTCATACGATTCAACGTAACACTATCTCAGTTCATCCTTACCACAACGGCTCCAAGAAACACGTATTACTGTCTCCACCTCAAAGAGGAGAAATCAGACTCACAAAGTGAAAGTCATTGTTTAAGGCTGCACCATCAATAAGTGCCAAACCTAAGCTTCAGACCCAGATTGACTAGAAGGCTAGGGTGCTTTCCATCACGCTGCAGCTACCGGGGAACAAATAAGTTAAATGTCAGAATTTTTAAAAGCCCGAGGTGTTCGACTTCCACTATCGAACCAGAGAATCCAGCAGTCAGCAGAGCCTCAGGACTTCCCTCAGTCTCTACCTGCCAGCCCCAGCCTCCAGCGAGGGGACTCCCAGCCTACAAGCAATCTGGGTTACCCTCCCTGCTCGTTCCTCCCAACCACACGGGGCGCTAAATGCAAGCATTCTCCTTTGGGCGTTCCCCGCACGCCCCCAGAGTCCCTCTTCCTTCTCCACTGCCTCCCCGACCCACGGCGCAGGCGCCACCCCCGATCCGCACCCCTTCCCGACTAGCGACCGTCGCGCAGGCGTCCCAGGGCTGGCGTCGGCGGCTGAGGCGCGCCCAGGAGCGGGCAGTCAGGCTGTTGGTTAGGAGCGGGCCACGTGCCATGGTGTCACCGCGCGAGCGTGCGCAGAGTGGCTGAGCGCGCCCGTGACGGAACGACGAGGCGTGGGGTGTGCGACCTCGCCCGCCAGGCCCGGCCCCCGCCCCTTGGTCTGCCGCTCCGCCCCCGCGGGGCGTCCCGGGCCGCTCGTCCCGTCGGCTGCGGCCGCGCGCGGCCCGGGGTCGCCGTGAGTACTCGCGAGGCTGGCCTGTGGGGCCGCCACCACGGGCACGGGGCGGTGCGACCGGGCCGCGGGAAGGGTGCGGGGTTCGCCCCGCCTCCGCAGGGGTGGACGAAGTGAGGGGCTAGGACCGGGAGGTTCCGAGGGTCCCTCCTAGGCTGGACGGGCTTCTCAGGCCCGGCGACCGAGCGGCATAGATCGGGCACAGAGCGTCTTCCCTGGGGAGGCAGGTGTTGAGTGTTTTTGGGGTCTTCAGGGGAGCCCCGGAGAACCGGTGTAACTGCTTCCCCGGGAGAGGCCTCAGGGCCTGTCCTGGAAGCACCGGTGCCAGAGAGTGTTTTCGGGGGGTGGGGGCAGCCCTGTCCTCTCTCCCTACTGGGTGCCCGAGATAGCGCTGACTTGCGGTAATCGCCCCTCAGTGATTCTTCGTAGTAGTCTTTGTTTAGTGGCCTAGTCTTGAGAAGGGAGCACACGGGATGGAGTGGGGTAACCTCTTCCAGGACCACAAAGCCCGGAGCCCAACCCCCATTTTTAACGTTGAGCTCTGAAGCTGCTTTGACTAGACGTGAAGTTGTCACACCCAGAGAAGCGCCCATGGCCTAGGGAAAGACGTTTGACTTATTCCCGTGGAAATTCATAAAGCGTTCTATATTAGTTGCTGAGTTTAACACCTTCTCTGGACACTCATCATATAGTCTTATTTTTGGCCCAACTTCTTTTGTAAGGTCCCATTCTTTACCTCATTTAGATAAATCAGATAGGTCTTTCTTGCTTAATTCATGAACAACTAAATTATAAGCACACCACGTGAAGATTAGATTTAATTAGGACCTGTCCAATGTCTTTACATCCCAGTCCTTCTGTACTCCTAACCTTAAGCAAATTGCTCAACCTCTATAGGTCTAAGTATTCTGTGTGTAATATGAAAGCTTTGAATTAGGCCACCTTTCCGGCTTGTTTTTTAAAACGTGTCTGTGATTCTGTGAATTCCATGACCCATCACCTTCCTTTTCCAACTCTTCACCTTTTAAATCCACTTTCCATCTCTCCAGAGGAAAGGGCATTGAGAGGAGAGGGAGCAAGTCCCTTTCACTAAAGCAGCCTGGTTTGAAAAAGCTGGTAATCTCTGAACTGTCTCTTCCTTGAACGAGACGATCTCCCTCTCAACTACCTTTTTCTCCTTCTGATAGCAACAGAAACCAAGCAGCAACAGCCCTTGGAAAGAGGCTAAATTTTTCTTGACTTCTGCAGCGACAAAGACCGTGAAAAGTTGGCACTTCTGGCCTAACGCTGCCATCATCCTACCCCTCACGCCAGGGCAACCCAGGCTGGACATTTAGTGCCTCCCTCTTTACTTCTCTGTGATCATCCAGATCAGCACTTGACTGTTTATTTTCAAATCTCACGAACCTCACCCCAAGATCTTCACATTCTGGTTCTCAGCTACTCTTGAAGGTGAATGAAGTTTTGGTTTTTAAAATCATTTTTTGTGTGATTTTTGTCTATGTGTAGAAACATGTAGGTTATTGTATATATCTCCCATTAGACTTAAGTATCCAGCAGAGGGTTCATTCATTCATTCACTCATTCAAGAAATGTTTTAAGGGACTAATAATGTAGACTGAAAACAGTCAAAGCCTCTGCCACCAGAGTGTATATTCTGATAAACATTTCATGTGTTAGAACATGGTAAGTGGAAAAAAATAAAGCTGGGAAGGGAAATAGAGAGTGGTAGTATGTGGGTGTTGAGTTGTTGCTGTTTCAATAAATAGGATGGTCAAGGTGGCCTTTGAGCAGAGATCTGGAAGAGTGAAGGAACAAGCCATGTGGATATATGGGTGGAAAGCATTCCGAGAAAGGGAAACAGCAGGGACAAAGGCCCTGTGGTGGGAATATGCTTGGGAATATGATGGGAATATGCTTGGTGAGTTTGAAGAACAGCAAACAGCAAAATGAGGCAATTGTAGAGCCTTGGTTAATCTTCCTTTTAACATTTAGAGTTGACTCTGAGGAGAGTCCATTAGAGTAGCTTCTGATTTTTTTAACTTTTTATTTTGAAACTTTTCAACTTTACATGAAAGTAGGGAGGTAGGGATTACCAGAAAACCCTCATGTACGTCACTTAGCTTCATCGGTAATCAACATTTTGCTATTTGCTATATTTATTTCATCTATTATCCTCCCTCCTTTTTTTATGTGTGTGTGCCAGGGTAGTATTTTAAAACAAATCTCAGTGATCAGGTCATTCCATCTCTAAGAACTTCAGTTATACTTTCCTTTTGCATGTTGTGTCTGAGAGATCAGGCAACACTATCGGCTGGAAGACTCCTATGCTGGCTCTGCTCTGGCATTGTGCCTTTTGTTCCCATCCTGGCTTAGTTACCAGTTTTAAGTTGGTATTTAAGGAATGAACCACAGGTCCTTAGAACACACAAGGATCTAGAACTGGAACAGTGGTTCTCAAATTTTATGCATCAGAACAACTTGGAGGGTGTGTTAAAACACAGATTACTGGGTCCAGTTTCTGGAATTTCTTTCTTTTTTGTGCAGTTTCGGCTTGCTGCAACCTCTGCCTCCTCGGGTCAAACGATTCTCCTGCTTCAGCCTCCCGAGTAGCTGGGAATACAGGTGTGCACCACTATGCCCGGCCAATTTTTTTATTTTTAGTAGAGACAGGGTTTCACCATGTTGTCCATGCTGGTCTCGAACTCCTGACCTCAGGTGACCTGCCCACCTGGGCCTCCCAAAGTGCTAGGATTGCAGGCATGAGCCTCAGTGCCTGGCCATTTCTGTAGTTTCTAATTCAGTAGGTCTTAGGAGGAGTCTGAGAATTTGCATTTCTAACAAGTTCCTAGATGATACTGATGCTACAGGTCCACCAACCCCAGTCAGAGAATCACTAATCTGGAAACGTGACATTCAGTAGAACTTTATTAGAGACCACCCAGGCACAGTGGCTCACGCCTGTAATCCCAACACTTTGGGAGGCCAAGGTGGGTGGATCACCTGAGGTCAGGAGTTGGAGACCAGCCTGGCTAACCTGGTGAAACCCCTGTCTCTACTAAAAATACAAAAATTAGCTGGGCGTGGTGGTGGGCACCTGTAATCCCAGCTACTTGGGAGGCCGAGACAGAATTGCTTGAAGCCGGGAGGCGGAGGTTGCAGTGAGCCAAGATCACGCCATTGCTCTCCAGCTTGGGCAACATAGCAAAACTCTGTCAGAAAACAAAAAGAAGAAGAAGAAGAAGAACTGTATTAGAGACCAAGAACACCTCTGTTTGAGGTTGGAGTGTTTTCAACTGAGATATATGCAGAGCTCGTGACTTGCTGGTCTAGAGATCAGCAGAAAGCTTTTTTAGCCTGCTCTTAGGATAACTTTGCCATCTTCAGCCATTAAAGCCTTCATAATTTCACAGATGAGTTTTTTGTTTTGTTTTGTTTTTCTGCTATATGTGGAGGCTTTAGTGGGGCTAAAAGTTGCTGGTATAGGATTAGGAGTCTGTGAGATTAGAAGCAAGCAGGGAACTGTATATGAAAGGGCTCTGGATTAAGTGTTTTTCTAAGCATTTTTTGGGATAATTATTGCATTTTTATTTGGGAAGCAGGTTCCAAGCTGACTCTAGGGCATTATTTTGGCAATGACAACTGAGATCATAACTGGCAAAAGATGTTCAGTGTTGTTGTTGAGGACTTTTTGTTTTGAGACAAGAGTGTTTGCTCTTGTTGCCCAGGCTGGAGTGCAATGGTGCGATCTTGGCTCACTGCAACCTCTGCCTCCTGGATTCAAGCGATTCTCCTGCCTCAGCCTCCTGAGTCCTATATTTTTAGTAGAGACAGGGTTTCACCACATTGGTCAGGCTGGTCTTGAACTCCTGACCTCAGGTGATCCGCCCACCTTGGCCTCCCAAAGCGTTGGGATTACAGGCGTGAGCCACTGCACCCGGCCATTGAGGACTTTTTAAGTTAGCTATCATTGCCATATAATAGCTAGTAATACTGATGTTTAAAGAGAGATAATGGCTCAACATGGAGAAATAACTAAAAATAAAGAGTCTAGAAATAATCCGATTCTGAATCTTAACTCTGGTGTGAGTTGGTACTCTGAAGAATTAACTGACAGAGTAAACATAAGCATCTTGTCCTGCCACCATCACTTTTGGCTTTAGGAGTTGTAACATTATGAGCTAGAGCAAGGTCTTGCTTTCCAGTTAAACTGGAAAGCTTGCCCAGCTTTCCAGTTTAAGTAGAATAGCAATATCTTGTATATAGTGCTTTTGTGTTTCATTACCTATAAAGAACTACATGTGCAAGTGTGCATGTATATGCATACAAGCATGTCTTTTTATATGCAAGTATCTGTATGTATAATTTTTTTTTTTTTTTTTTTTTTTTTTTTTTTTTTTTTTTTTTTTTTAGACGGAGTCTCGCTGTGTCGCCCAGGCTGGAGTGCAGTGGCGCGATCTCGGCTCACTGCAAGCTCCGCCTCCCGGGTTCACGCCATTCTCCCGCCTCAGCCTCCGAGTAGCTGGGACTACAGGCGCCCGCCACCACGCCCGGCTAGTTTTTTTTGTATTTTTAGTAGAGACGGGGTTTCACCATGTTAGCCAGGATGGTCTCGATCTCCTGACCTCGTGATCCACCCGCCTCGGCCTCCCAAAGTGCTGGGATTACAGGCTTGAGCCACCGCGCCCGGCCTGTATGTATAATAAAAGTGTATTAATGGCCGGATGCAATGGTCCACGCCTGTATTCCCAGCAATTTGGAAGGCCGAGGCCGGTAGATCAGATGAGGTCAGGAGTTCGAGACCAGCCTGGCCAACATGGTGAAACCCCATCTCTACTGAAAATATTAAAATTAGCTGTGCATGGCGGTGGGCACCCGTAATCCTAGCTACTGGGGAGACTGAGGCATGAGAATTGCTTGAACACTGGAGGTGAAGGTTGCAGTGAGCCAAAATCACGCCATTGCACTCCAGCCTGGGTGACAAGAGTGAAACTCCGTCTCAAAAGAAAAGCATATTCATAAATATGTGTGCCTGTATATATACCACCCAGCTATTAAATGGTGATGAAACCCATTGTTTTCTACTTTCCACAGGACAGTGACTTGTTACCACCACAGCAGCAGAGCCTGCCATCCCCAACAGATCTCCAGTTGTCCCTGACATCGTGCCCTACTTTCCCTCCTTTTGTGGTCTCCTAAATGCCGATTTCGTTGACCTTGGTTCGGCTGGTGGTATGGAGGGGTGCTGCCTAGCACTGACCTGAGAGTGTGTGTGACCCACTGACCCAATGGTGAGAACTGACTGCCCGCCTCTCCAACTGATTGTTCAAAGGGTGGAGGAGACAAAGTGCAGATCTCACCCTTTCTTGGTATTTTCCCTTCTACCCTTGTGGAAGATAGAGTGGCTATTTGAAGTTAAAGGAAAGGGAAGGGGCACAGAAACAGTATTACTTGATGTGTTTGTTTTGTGTAGGTGGGTTTTCTTGGGGAGAGAGAGGAGAGTTAAGTACTTTAAAGGACAGAAAGAAAATAATGAGACGAGAGCTTAGGTATGCTTGGGAACTGTCTTAGATAATGATCCTGGAAGAGGCCAGCTTGTACTGGAACTGAGATATGCTTAGGAATCAACCTTGACATTGAAGTCATTTGCATTTCTCTCCTGCTGGCTACCAGAGCCTCTCAGTCATCATGCTGAGACTTCAGAAGGCCCAAATTCCCTAGATGTTTTCCTCTGTCCCACTAAGAGCTAGTCTATGGATATGATCATATCAGGAAGAGACTGAGACTCTCCCAAAGGGTGAGGTGAAAGGTGTAAAGGGATCAGGGCTTCAGTTATTCTGTCTTTTCCCAATCTTTGTGGGAATCTGTTTCCCATCATATCATCCCACCTGCTTCCATGGGATAATAGGGACCTAACAAAGCATGATATCCTTATTTCTCATCACTAGGACATCAAAGGCCAGTTCTGGAATGATGACGACTCGGAGGGAGATAATGAATCAGAGGAATTTCTCTATGGAGTTCAGGTGAGGTTCCATCTCCCAAGACCCCCATGTTGGATGGTCTAGATGTGTGCTGCTCTTTGGATACATCAGGAGTGAAAGAGGTTCTGGAGCACAGATGAGATGAGGTTATAATGTTGGTGTGGTCTGAGCATGGTCTTGTCAGAGCTGATCCCATGCCCTTGCTCTTCCTTTGGAATCATACTTGTTCCACTAGAGTAAACTACATCCTCTGTATGTGGAGACTACCCATATGTTCTTAATTAGACATAATTATTTTCTGACTCTTAACACTAGCCAGTGGGGGTAGTTTCATTCATTAGGGTCACATCTTAAAAGATTACTCTGCCAGCGATTGCTTAATGCCATCACTACCCAGGCACAGCCCTGAGCAGAAATACCCAGACTCTCAGAATACTCTTCATATAGAACCAATCTTAGGAAACATGTAACTTCAGCCTGTGCTGAGTTGTCATAGAAGGTATCCTGGTCAAGGTCTGAGAGGAAAAGCTGGAGATTTAAGGAAGTGAACTCCAAGCAAAAGCCTACATTTGGTATGCTGAACCTTTTTAAAGTCGTGATGAAATGCAGACCTCTGTTAATGAAATCCCTTGGTAGGGTCACCACTGAGAACCCCTTCACATAAGTGGCTTTCACTTACCTTATATTACTGTCTGATTTCTCCTGTTCCTGGTGTCTCTTCATATTCTTTTTATTATCATCTCTCTCTTTCCCTCGTCTTTTTCCACCTCTCTCCACCACCATTTTTGCTGCTATCTCAGGGGAGCTGTGCAGCTGACCTGTATCGACACCCACAGCTTGATGCAGACATTGAAGCCGTGAAGGAGATCTACAGTGAGAACTCTGTATCCATCAGGTGGGACTCTGCTTCAGGGGTGGCAGGGGAGCAAGTCACTTCTTTCTGAGTTGTTAGAAGTCTAGAGGTTTTTCTTTTTATCATATGATAGTGGGATAAATTATGAACTTAATGATAGAAAATGCTCAGAATAAATGAGCTTGGCTGACAGTAGAGAGTAGAGAAGTAAGGCCACTTTTCTTAGGAATTCCCTCTTATCCTAGACCCCTCTGGGCCAGTAGTCTCACCTTTCAGGTAAGAAATGCTTTTGGCCTGGGAGAAGACACTGATCATGTAAGTGGTGTAAGGCTGTAGCTAAGACCCTAGGTACAAAACTGTTGTCCACTTTTCCCTTTCTCCTGTCCCCAGGCTAAGTTCTCTTTCCACCTCAGTTTCTATTCCCTTTCTCCCTTAATGAGTCTCACCTGTTGTCACCTGTATCTCTATAGAGAATATGGAACTATCGATGACGTGGACATTGACCTCCACATCAACATCAGCTTCCTCGATGTAAGTGGGGCTAGTACCTGCCAACAACATGTCTAGCTGGACTGTGGAATTTGTCATGTAGGCCAGGAGTCTTGTTCCTGAGTGCTGTATTTGGAGCATATATTCTTCATCTTTGTCTTTCCTAAACCATCAGCAGACAGTGGTGTGTACTGTCATGTGCATGTGTGTGTCATATAGGGGAAATTTCAGGTCCATTCCTGTATGTTGCTAAACTGGAAACTATTTCCCGTCTTCTTTTAGGAGGAAGTCTCTACAGCCTGGAAGGTCCTCCGGACAGAACCTATTGTGTTGAGGCTGCGATTTTCTCTCTCCCAGTACCTAGATGGACCAGGTAAAGGCAGTGACTTTGGGCAAGTGGGTGATCTGAGTGTGGTCTAATCCAAAGCCCTAAGTTAACTAAGGTAGAAAAAAATTAGGAACAAGGTCCTTGGGCTCAATCTGCAGGCTATCGGTAGGGGCTTTTTAGTCCCGTGTAATTGGTGTCTTCATCCCCTGTCACCTGATAACCATTCCCTAAAGGCCTTCTTGCCTAATGACATTGTTTTCTCTGGTTCCAAGATAAAATTTCTTTCTCCTTCTTTTCTCAACATCCTACTGAGGATATTTCAGATTCATATGAGAGCTTCTAGAATCTGCCTTCTGCTTCAGATGTTTTTTTTCTTCCACCATTACTGTTTAGAGTACCCAGCAGCTATGATCTTTAGAATTTACAGAAGCTCTGCCACTGAGCTTTGGACTCCAGGAAGTCAAGAGATACATACTTACTAGTAGCCTTCTCTTCTCTTTGCAGAACCATCAATTGAGGTTTTCCAGCCATCAAATAAGGAAGGATTTGGGCTGGGTCTTCAGTTGAAAAAGTAAGAACTTTGGTCTTTTCTGGTCATGGACATGTGAAGGAAGGAAAGAGAGATGGAAATGTATGGATGGACAGGCAGAGCCTTGGATGGAATACCTCCTTCCAAAAATGTCTTTCTGAAATATGCCCAGTAAAAGCTAAAATAAATTTAGGGAGCCAGATTTAAGGTTGTGGAGAGAGAGTGTATGGTTCTTGGGTGTCAGAACCTGAGACTTTCTAGAGGTAAAAGAGGCTCATCACTACTTAGCATTTTTACTACCCTGGAATCTTTCTTCAGAGTAAGTCTCTAGGGATTTAATTTTAGTTTATTGAATGTGTTGAGCATTAAGCTAACTATATGGTATACAAAGAAATGAAGCATATTTTCCACTCTCAGTGAAGTTTCAAATAGAGTCCACTGGATACATATTCTAATACAGGTGAATATGTAAGGTTTAGAAAGGACCCTGAAGAGAGACTCTGTCTGTTGAAAGGGTGATGATTAATAATTTCCTTTTTTTTTTTTTTGAGACAGAGTCTTGCTTTCACCCAGGCTGGAGTGCAGTGGCATGATCTTGGCTTACTACAACTTCTGCCTCCTGAGTTCAAGTGATTCTTGTGCCTCAGCCTCTTAAGTATCTGGGATTACAGGCACCCATCACCATGCCTCGCTAAGTTTTGTATTTTTAGTAGAGATGGGGTTTCTCTATGTTGGCCAGGTTGGTCCTGAACTCCTGGCTTCAAGTGATCCACCTGCCTCAGCCTCCCCAAGTGCTGGGATTATAGGTGTGAGTCACTGCACCCAGCCAATCATTAGTAATTTTCAAAGATGGGTAAGAGTTGTCCATGTAGACAGATTCCGAGGGTGCATAACATTTGCAGGGGCTTAGTCACATAAAGCAGTATGTGTGTAGGGAGCTTCAGGTAGTTAAATATTGCTGGTAAAATACAAGCTGGGGGTGTAGGAGCCAAAGCCAGAGAATAGGGAAGGGTTCAAGTTAGAGAGGGTCTTGGACTTTTATCCTGTAGGCAGTGTGAACATTGAGGGGTTTAGGCAAAGAAATGACGTGGTCAGATTAATTTTTAAAAACCATTCTGGTAGCATTGTACAAAATGGGTAGGAGGGGATGAGACAAGAGACCAAAACTAGTGTAATAGGTTGCTTTTGTAAAAGTCAAGACAAGAGATGCTAAAGGCCTGAGCTAAAGTGTGATTATAGGTGAGAATGGAGATGAGAGACAGATTAGAAAGATTTGTGAGGTATAAAATCAATAAGACTTGAAGACTGATTTACATGTATTGAATATAGCCATAAGGGCCAAAGAATAGTGGAAAATACATGTAGGTTTCCAACCTAGATGTATGGGTAAATTGTGATACCACCAATGTAAATAGGGATATGAGAATGGAGCAGTTTTGTAGGATGAGGATAGGTAATTAGTTCCATTTTTGGCGTGTTATTTAAAAGTAACTTTCGGATATGCTGGTGGAGATGCTTATCTGAAATGTCAATTTGCTACTTACCGGAGAAGTTAGGGTTGAAGATATGCATCAGTGCGTGTGGGAAGAAATTACAGCCAGTGAATATGAGATTGCCAAAGGAGGGCACGATAATGGGAAAAGAAGATAGGATCAAGGACAAAATACCCTTAAACAGTCAGACAAAATCCCGAAGAAACCAGCACGGTAGGCAGAGGAAGAAGTAACACTGCAGGTAGGTCAGAGTAATGTAGGAAGAGAAAGGTGGCACAGAAGACAAAGGAGGGCAGGTTCTGCAAGGAGGGCCAGATGCCAGAGAAGATAAGGGAAGAACCTGGGAGTTTCCATTGGATTTAGCATCAGGACGAGAACAATTTTAGTGATGAAGGTAGGAACCAGAATACAGAAATTTGAGAGGTGAGTGGTTGGCAACAACATAGAAACATTGAGTATGGGTTGAGAAATTTGGGTGGGGATGGGAAAGCAACAGGGAGAGGTTAACTAGACTAAGGTGCAGAAAGTTGCCATTTTCTGTTGACTTTTGGAAAGGAACTGAGAAGAAAGGGGAATGATTGACACATCAAGCTCCCTAAAAAGGCAAGTCAGGGCTGAGATCTAGAGCACAAATCGAAGGACTGATCTTAGGTAGAAGGGTCACCTTACCTCCAGAAAATGGAGGGATCGAGGTAGGGTAGAAATATAAATAGATGTTATAGTAGGGTTGGAAAATTAAGGGAACTGATACCTGATGGCTTAAGAAAGAAGAGAGGTTATTGGTTGTAGATGAAGTTAGTAACTTAAAGAAGGTAATAAGGATTTAGAACAATACCTTAGAGTAATGCTAGAGAGAACTGATCAAGGACAAGTGAAAGGATTGACAAATCTAGCTAAGGGCGTAGCTCAAATTGGAAACCATAAATTTGGGAATATAATTTTTCAATGTCAGTACCCCTTATGTCCCTACTCCCTTTCTTCATGACTCACAAGGAGCAAAGTGGTACTCACCTCCATCCTACCACTTCTGTTTCCCTGTCAACAGTATTGGGCCGGGCGCGGTGGCTCACGCCTGTAATCCCAGCACTTTGGGAGGCCGAGGCGGGCGGATCACAAGGTCAGGAGATCGAGACCATGGTGAAAGCCCGTCTCTACTAAAAATACAAAAAAGTAGCCGGGCGCGGTAGTGGGCGCCTGTAGTCCCAGCTACTCAGGAGGCTGAGGCAGGAGAATGGCGTGAACCCGGGAGGCGAAGCTCGCAGTGAGCCGAGATCGCGCCACTGCACTCCAGCCTGGGGGACACAGCCAGACTCCGTCTCAAAAAAAAAAAAAAAAAACAGTATAGTCATTCTTGGCAATAGATTTCAAGGTTTGCAGCCTTTGAAGACTCACCTTTGAAATCTGCCTCTAAAGGCAAAGCGTCTCAGAATTTTTCTGGTCCATTAGGATAGGTACCCTCTAGGGTAAAGGGGTGCTCTGGGGTGGTGATTTTTTTATTTACTAAGATCATTTTAAGGGGTCTTCATATACACATTTCCCTGCCACAACTAGTTTTGTAGTCCCTGGGTCTGAATTTTAGATTATTTGCCTCTCTTAGTCCTTACTTCTTGACCCTGCCTCATCTTGCCTAAGCTCATTCTTTTTGATCCCTCAGGATCCTGGGTATGTTTACATCTCAACAATGGAAACATCTGAGCAACGATTTCTTGAAGACCCAGCAGGAGAAGAGGCACAGTTGGTTCAAGGCAAGTGGTACTATCAAGAAGTTCCGAGCTGGCCTCAGCATCTTTTCACCCATCCCCAAGTAAGTGCTCCCTAAAGCTGATCATCTGTAAACAGCTTGTGATAGCCCCCACCCCCCACCTTCTTGATTACATAAACTTTTCTGTCCCCTCTCTTCCCTGAATTCTGTCTGTTTAACTACTGACACCACTCACATGGTCCTGTTCCCCATGTGTCCTTACCTTTCTACTCCTTACCCAATGTTAATACCTAATCCTTTATGTAAAACAGAATACCTAGCTTTTGATATGTATTTGGAGAAATGTAGGTTGAATCTTCCATCTTTCTTTTCTTTTGCCCTGGTCCGTTTCCCCATCCTAAGAGGAAAGTGTCAGAGAACAGGCAGTAATTCCTTGCTAGCTTCTGGAAATAAATATTGCTCCATTCTTTGACCCCAGGTCTACATTTTCCTAAGGCAGACACAAACCCAGATTTGTAGCTTCCCAGGAATCATTGTTGACAGTCAGATAGTCAGTATTAGGCCCTTTGGGATGCAGCTACTTTTTGCCTAGGACAGTGTTTAACACTTAATCTCTCTCTCTTTCTCTGTTTTTCTGTCTCTCTCAGTAAGAAAAACAGGCAGCCTTTCCAAGGGATTATTCCATACTTGGCTTAGAAACATAATAACCTATGCTCTGCATCTGCCCACCCTCAGTGTCCCAATGTGAAGAACCCACAGATGATGACATAAACATTTAAATTCATATGTGTGATCTACTTGTTTTAATAGTGTTTAAGATACAATGCAACTTTCCTCAGATATGAGTTTGTCTTTCTTTGGTTTAGAACTTTTGGCTTAGGGCTCACTTATCTCCAGTACCCTGTAGGGCTCCTATGAAATCCCCAGTTTTATCACTTCTCTTTGCTCTCTCTCTCCAGGTCTCCCAGTTTCCCCATCATACAGGACTCCATGCTGAAAGGCAAACTAGGTGTACCAGAGCTTCGGGTTGGGCGTCTCATGAACCGTTCCATCTCCTGTACCATGAAGAACCCCAAAGTGGAGGTGTTTGGCTACCCTCCCAGCCCCCAGGCAGGTCTCCTGTGCCCTCAGCACGTGGGCCTCCCTCCCCCAGCACGGACCTCTCCTTTGGTACATGGGCTGGGGAGGGTTTGACTTGGCTATCAGGAGGGTGGGAGTGGAAATGTGGGAGTGTAGTTTCTTAAAATGGGGTGGGGGTATGGTTGTCTAGGCATCATAAATCAAACCTAGGTAGGTACCATGAGTGAGTAGAATGGAACACTTCTTTTTTCTTGAGACAGGGTCTCACTCTGTCATCCAGGCTGGAGGGCAATGGTAATCTCTGCTCACTGCAGTATCTGCCTCCCAGTCTCAAATGATCCTCCTACCTCAGCCTGTTGAGTAGCTGGGACTATAGTCGCATGCCACAACTGGCTAATTTTTCATATTTTTGTCGAGATGGGCTTTTGCCATGTTGGCCAGGGTAATCTTGAACTCCTGAGCTCAAGTGATCCACCTGCCTTCGCTTCCCAAAGTGCTGGGATTACAGGCATGAGCCACCACTCCCAGCTGGAACACATTTTTTAACAATAGAAAACTTACGTCTAAACTGTCTGGCAAGCTTCTCTGATAGACCATGAAGCAGAGAGTCTGGAGATGGGAATCTCAAGGAGAAGTCATGTATGATTTTATTAGTTTGTGAGTAGGACTGTAGTTAACTGTAGCTGCTGTACTAACCTATTCCACCTACTTTGAAGGAGGGTTAAGGAATAGGTAAGCCCTTTTCCATCACCTTTGGCAAAAATGTCTAAAAGTCTCCTTTCCAGCTTTGGGATTCTGAGCTAAGGTTTAGCTGCTTTAGGAGAGTCCTAGGTGATGGGCAAGAGTCAGGTCTGTCTAGGCCCCAGCTTCATAGGAGGTTCATGGGGTCTGTCTTTTTACTCTTACCAGGTCAGTGGTCACTGCAAGAACATTCCCACTCTGGAGTATGGATTCCTCGTTCAGGTAATCAAGTCAAAATCGTCACTCCAAAGCCCTTTCCTGTTGTCTGACCCATTTGGTCTCCTAACACCTCCCAGCTCCTCAGTCAAATACTTCCTGAATTGCTTTTCTTCCAAAACTAATGGTAGAAAGAAAGAAGGCATAGTTCCCATCTTCAGGAAACTGACAACATTACTAGAAAGACACTTACCACTTATGATCAAGTGCCAATGAGGCACTGCCAGTTTTAAGTGTGTGGGTGTCGAGACTCATATGACATGAGATGAGAGTGAGATTGACACTCATTTCCCTAATGATTCCCAATAGCCCTTGCTCAAGTGATTTTTAGTATTCTTCACAGACCCCTTTCACTGCTCAGCTACTACTGGTCATTTGCTTTTTAAAATCTCTTTATTCCCTGGGCATGCTTTCACTTTTGCATCTCTGTTACCTTTGTTCATGTCATTCCTTATATCTTCCTATTGCCATGAAGAGTCAGATGGCACCTTTTTCATAAAATTGCCATTACTCCAATGCATTAACTAGAAGTGATGTCTCCCCTCACTAAACTGTTAAGATTTTTGTTTGTTTGTTTCATATGGCACCTGTGTGTCACATACTATGGGCTGCCTTGAATTGTTATTTATTTATAAACATGCCACATCTCTCCTATTGAAGCTTAGCTTCTGAGAAAACAACCTTTATTTCATAATCAAGAAGACGTTTCACAGAGCTGGGTACATAATGGGCATTCGGTAAATCTGCATTAAATGAATAAAGTCTCTTGCATGTCCCATTACCAGCCTAAAATCATGTGAAATGGGAACAACTTGATTTATGCACAAAAGCTATGTTAAGACAGGGTGTCACAAAACACACACATAAAAAAACACTTCAGGATATTGTTGCATTAGCTCTGGATTTTGCTATCTTCCCAGTACAGAATTGTCTGTAGTTTTGACTACCAGTGGACTGGCTAATTGTTCTAGGTAGTTGAAATGGCTTCTCAGGACCTTCTGCCATCTAATCATGGAATGAATGCTCTCCTGTCCCAGAGGGACAGCCTATAATTACAAGTACTTTTCATAGTTTGATTAGCACCCATTTTATATTTTTAAAATGCTTTCATGGACATCATCTCATTTCTTGCAATACCCCTATGAGGTGAATAACGCTCTGCTGTATAAACGAAGAAACCAAGGCTCAGGTTAACTGACTTGCTTAAAGTTATATATGCCATTAAGTATTAGAAGTAGGAAGTTAACCCAGGTCTTCTCAATCAAACATCATGGTCTTATTTTTACTATACCATACAGTCATCAGTTTAAGTACACAGCCTAAGAATATATCCTACCTTAGGCATGGGGCTGGGAGGATGGAGGGTAGCTGGAAAAAAAAGCTGAAATTATTTCCCATATCTGTGTGTGCCAATACTTCCAAAAGACTTAGAATCTGTTCTCTTCCCAGATCATGAAGTATGCAGAGCAGAGGATTCCAACATTGAATGAGTACTGTGTAGTGTGTGATGAGCAGCATGTCTTCCAAAATGGATCTATGCTGAAGGTATAGGTCCCTACTCTATGACCCTCTTCCTTAACCAGGTCCCCTTCACTCCTCTCCTTTATTTCCTTCTTGCTTGGTCTGTGGTCAAGGTAAAATTCTGTCTGTACACCCTGATACTCTAGAAATCGTTGATTTTTCTTAGAAAACAAATCTCAGCAGTACTGTTTAGAGAGATGAGGATATGAGAATATTTAGGATAGAGTCCACCTGACATTTAAAAATGGGGATCAGATATTAACCAAGATGATTGGATATGATGCTGTCCTCAAGGACTCTAAGTCCAGATGGGAGACAGACAAATCACAGTGTATGTTAAGTTTATAGAAGAGATATTAGCATTGTTAAAAATCAGGTGAGAGAGCATCTGACATCACAGGAAGATCAGGGAAGGCTTTATAGCGGAGACCGTGTTACCCCAAACTTACTGGTAAGGCATTCTGATTAAGACTTTATTGGTAGTTTTCTCCTGATATAGAGGGCCTCAAATTCCTACCCTGTTGTAGAGTTGTCTAAGGGCAGGACTGTCCGTCTCTGCCTACACCTTATTGCACACCCCATCCCACCACCATCTGTTTAATATATCCTTTCAGCCAGCTGTCTGTACTCGTGAACTATGTGTCTTCTCCTTCTACACACTGGGCGTCATGTCCGGAGCTGCAGAGGAGGTAGCCACTGGAGCAGAGGTATGGGGGAGGGAAACGTGGTTGGGGAATTGGGATCAAGAAAGACAGAGGAACCCAACTATTTCATTCTTGGAATTTAACTTCCAAAAATGCTTTTGTGTATAAGATACCCACTGTCGTATTGTTTGTAAAATAAAAAATGGATACAACCCCATCTGTACGGGTACCAGTTAAAGAAATTATGGGATGTCCTTAGAGTAGACATACTATATAGGTATTATTTTTGTACAGAAAATTTTAACATAGTTATACAAAAAAGCAAATACAACAGTATACGTAGTAAAACTTTCCATGTAAGAAAATAATGGGCCGAGCACAGTAGCTCACACCTGTAATCCCAGTGCTTTGGGAGGCTGAGATGGGAGGATGGCTTGAGCTTAGGAGGTGGAGGCTGCAGTGGGCCATAATCACGCCACTGCACTCCAGCCTGGGTAACAGAGTGAGCCCGTCTCTTTAAAAAAGAATGAGAGAGAAGGAAAAGAAAATATTTCCATAGGAAAATTATCTGGAAGGATATACATCAAACTCACTAGTACTTACCTGTGAGGAATGAGATTAGCTTAAGGGCAGGAAGATGGTTTTTTTAATGTTTCTTTAGTTACTTTGGTATTACTTGAATTTTTATGAGCTTGTATTTTCTATTTTAAAAGGCTTAAACATATTTGCTTTTTAAAAGAACATCAGAGAGAAATACTAGATACTCTGTGACTCCCAGTACTGGGAAATCATTTAGCTTCTGCCCCCTTTTTTTCCTTTCCTCTAAGGTGGTGGATCTGCTGGTGGCCATGTGTAGGGCAGCTTTAGAGTCCCCTAGAAAGAGCATCATCTTTGAGCCTTATCCCTCTGTCGTGGACCCCACTGATCCCAAGACTCTGGCCTTTAACCCTAAGGTATGTTACTTGAGAAAGTCAGGGCTAAGGAATAGAAATGGTAAAAGATAGTGGGAGACTATAGGCTGACATTCTGGTATATACAGGGCTTGGAATAAGGGACAGAACTCTTAAACTCTGTGGTTTAGCTGTTTCAGTAAATAGCCACGTTTGACACAGAAAGAGGAGAAGAATTAATATTAGTTACATTATGATAGGGAAGAAGGGCTTTCGGAGCCAGACAGACCTGGATTCCATTTGAGGTTCTGCTAGTCCCCAGTTGAAGGGTATTAGGCAAGTCACTTAACCTTTCTAAACTTCAATCTCCTTATCTTGTAAAAAGGGATAATATTTATTTTGCAGATCATTATAAAAATGAGAAGTAATATATGTAAAGTGCTGTTTTAGGGTTTTCCAGAGAAACGGAGCCAATAGGAGATACATAGAGAGAGAGGAGAAAGAGATTTATTATAAGGAATTGCCTCACATGATTATGGAGGCTGAGAAGTCCCAACATCTACAGTTAGCAGGCTGCAGACCCAGGAGAGCCAGTGGTACAGTTCTAGTCCCAGTCCCAAGGCTTGAAAATCAGAGAGCGGGCTGGGCACAGTGGCTTCTGCCTATAATCCTAGCACTTCGGGAGGCCAAGGCGGGCGGATCACTTGAGTGAAGAGTTAAAGACCAGCCTGGCCAACAAGGTGAAACCCGGTCTCTACTGCAAATACAAAAAATTAGCCAAGCATGTTGGTAGGCGCCTGTAATCTCAGTGACTTGGGAGGCCGAGGCATGAGAATCACTTGAACCTGGGAGGCAGAGGTTGCAGTGAGCCAAGATCGCACCACTGCACTCCAGCCTGGGCGAGACTCTGCCTCAAACAAACAAACAAACAAAACAAAACTGAAAAATCAGAGCCAATGGTGTATGTTCTAGTCTGAAAGCCTGAAGGCTCAACATCCAAGAAGAGCCAATTTTTTTTTAGTTCAAACCCAAAGACTGGAAAAGACTGATAATCCAACTCAAGCAATCAGGCAGGAGGAGTAACTACAAACTCTACAAACTCATGGCGGGGTGGGGCGGAAGAGTCAGCCTTTTTGTTCTATTCAGGTCATCGACTGTTTGGATAAAGCCTTTCCACATTAGGGAGGACAATTTGCTTTACTCAGTCTGCTGATTCAAATATTAATCTCAACCAGAAACACCCTCACAAACACACCCAGAAATAATGGTTGACCAGATGAGTGGGTACCTCATGGCCCAGTCAAGTTGACACACGAAATTAACCATCGGAAGTACCCAGCATAGTACCTCACTATTACTGTCATTACTATACAGAGTTCTTTATGTATGTTATTTAATCCTCAGAACATCTTTATGGGGGTGATAGTTGTTATCTTCATTTGCATAAAGGGATGTTAAAGATTCCAAGAGGCCAAATAACTTACCCTATTACTCCCAGCTGGTAAACATGTGACCCCAGAACTGTCTGACCATTAATGCTCTTTCCATGACATACTGTTGTTTCCTTGGGCCTAGACATTTTTTGTACATCTAGCCCCTTTTCATCACATCTTACTTTCCTCTACTTTTCTTTATCTGATTCTTCTCTTCCCATTGATTCCCCACAGAAGAAGAATTATGAGCGGCTTCAGAAAGCTCTGGATAGTGTGATGTCCATTCGGGAGATGACCCAGGTATTCTGCCTTCTCTCTGTCCCCTTTCTTCTGCCTGCCCAGTTCAAGTGTCCTATTCTGTTTGTAATTTGTGGGAGTGGGATGAAGATTTAGAGATGCTACTCACTGTATTATTTTTTTTTAGTCTTTCCTCTTTAACCTTCCCAATTCTTGTTCTCTGTTTTGTTAGCTCTGTTACTCCTCTTTATTCTCTTTAGTCTTTGTGTCTCAATCTTTACCTTTGCTGTTAATTCCTTTACAAGTTGTTCATTATGTTTTAATGAACATAATGTTTATTAAATTTAATGTTTTGCCGTAATTCTTAGGGAGTTAAGAAGTGAAGGAAAGGCCGGGCACGGTGGCTCAAGCCTGTAATCCCAGCACTTTGGGAGGCCGAGACGGGCGAATCACGAGATCAGGAGATCGAGACCATCCTGGCTAACATGGTGAAACCCCGTCTCTACCAAAAAATACAAAAAACTAGCCAGGCAAGGTGGCGGGCGCCTGTAGTCCCAGCTACTCCGGAGGCTGAGGCAGGAGAATGGCGTAAACCCGGGAGGCGGAGCTTGCAGTGAGCTGAGATCTGGCCACTGCACTCCAGCCTGGAGGACAGAGCCAGACTCCGTCTCAAAAAAAAAAAAAAAAGAAGTGAAGGAAAGACCTCTGCCCAGGGTTGGGAGGGTGAGGAGGAGGGGGGCTTGGAGGTAAAGAACTAGACACAGGGGCCTACATCTTCTATCCTTCTAGGGGTGGGGCAGCCACATGGAGCGGTGACCATCCTTTGACTCAAGGCTGTCCCTCACCAGACTTCCCCACCCCTCGTCTGCAGTCTCTGCATGAATAGACATTCATTTGTACTCATTTACAGGTGGGCCTCTTCTCAGCAAATCCTGTATATCACAGTTGAGATTTACACATAAGATACACCTAGGAGGAATGATTTACTTGTCAGGAGGACGCTTTGCTTTATTTAAAGATTTACTACAGGATTCCTTAGCCTAATCTTCCTGGGACATTGATTTTATTTATTTTTTGATTTACAATCAACTTTTTAGGGCTGTAGGAATTGCATAAAATGAGGGAGACCCACCTGCATGTTGTTTTGTAAGCATCTTCAGTCATTTTCATATTTATTTATGAGTCTTCCCAGCCTGACTAGGGCTCCTTGAGGGTGGGAACCCTATTTCCTTTTTCCTCTATGTGGCCTTTGTTGCCTACCTTGCCCTGGATCCTAATAGTCACTCTGTGAAAAGCAGAAAGCAGGTAGGCTCCCACCTCTCGGGGAGATAATGTTATGGCCATTGTCTTACAGGGCTCATATTTGGAAATCAAGAAACAGATGGACAAGTTGGATCCCCTGGCCCATCCTCTCCTGCAGTGGTATGGATAGAATGGCTTATCCTTCTTGGGTTACAGGGAGGGAGGGAGTTATTGGACATGGAACCTGTACCTTCTTTTAGTGGTGATTTCAACATCCTGCCCAAGGTTATAGGCAATAATGGCTGCTTTTTCTTGGAATTTGTTGATATACCTTGCCTTGAAAATAACACATCCTACAAAAAGCCCACAAATTCTGACATGATTTTTCTTTTAAAAAAATTATTTTTAATCTTATTTTAATTTTTTTTTTTTTTTCTTTTTTTGAGATAGGGTCTCACTCTGTTGCCCAGGCTAGAGTGCAGTGGTGCGATCACGGTTCACTGTAGCCTTGCCCTTCAGTGCTCAAGTGATCACCTCAGCCTCCCCAGTAGCTGGGACCACAGGCATGGGCCACCACACCCAGCTAATTTTTTTTTTTTAATAGAGATGGAGTCTCCCTATGTTGCCCAAGCCAGTCTTGAACTCTTGGGCTCAAGTGATCCTCCCGATTGACTTCCCAAAGTAGCTGGGATTATAGCCATGAGCCACGATGTGCTGCTAACATGATTTTTCAAGTTCTCTTTAGGTGTTCCATGTTTCGCAATAGGTTTTGTTGTTTGTTTTCCTTTTTGGTTTGTAATTTATTTTTTAAATTGACATATAGAAATTACAGGGCCGGGCGCAGTGCTCACACCTGTGATCCCAACACTTTGGGAGGCCAAGGCAGGCAGATCACCTGAGGTTGGAAGTTCGAGACCAACCTGACCAAGATAGAGAAACCCCGTCTACTAAAAATACAAAATTAGCCAGGCATGGCGGCCCATGCCTGTAGTCCCAGCTACTTGGGAGGCTGAGACAGGAGAATTGCTTGAACCCGGGAGGCGGAGGTTGCTGTGAGCCGAGATTGTGTCATTACACTCCAGCCTGGGCAACAAAAGCGAAACTCCATCTCAAAAAAAAAAAAAGAAAAGAAAATTACATATATTGTGTATAACATGTTTTGAAGTGTGTATACATTGCAAAGTGGTTCAGTAGAGCTAATAAGTGTATGCCTTATCTCACATATATATTTTTTGTGGTGAGAACACTTAAAATCTACCGCAGTGATTTTCTAGAATATGACACATTGTTACTAACTATAGTCGCCATCAGTAGGTTTTTGTGTCCTTTGCATGTAGGAATTAACACTGTTAATTTCAACTAAGTTTTCTATGCATCCAGAGAGGTCTGTCTCCTCCTGCTATCCCCTTGCCCTGTCTCTGGGCCTCCTTGATGATATAGAATGTCCAGAGCCTTGAGGCACTATTGCTGTGCTCTTCTCCTATCCAAGATTTTGACGGTCCCTGCTGCCTTCCCTTCCTGATCTCGATTTCTGTTGTTTTCCTGACATAGCTTTCCCTTTCTAGTTTGCCTTCCTCTTCCTAATCAGCCTTCAGTACTTCCTCAGTGCTACAGCTTTCGCCCTCTTAGCCTGAGGAATAACTAGGCATAGACCATCTGGGGTGGCATCCCAAGTACATAGATGAGGCACAAAAAACAAAGACAACAACAAACTGTATCCACCTGGGAGATAACGCTCTCTTGCTGAACCCTCAATGTTTTATGTCTGTTCTCTTCTGTCTTCTGTGTTCAGCCTGTATAGAGCTTAGTTTGTCCTTGACTCCTAAAGAAGTTCATTCTAGTTTGTTCTGTTTCTTTTTCCAGCCTAGGCAGTAACTTTTTCTCCATATCTCCCCATTCCTGAGAGCTTTCAGGTTTTCTCTTGAGCTCAGGAAGGATGGCTGAATCTGAGTCTAAATCCCGGGTATAAGTTGTCACCATTCTAATTCAGACCTCTTCTTTCTGTTTTTTTTCTTTTCTTTTTTTGTAGGTGACCTCTGTGCTCTTTCTTTTGTTCTACCCTTTTTACTCTCTACTTGTAGCAGCCCTCCTCCCACCCCTTTATTTTTTTCATCCATTGTTTAACTCCCCAGTAATTAGCTCGTGTCTGGTTAGTAGCTTCCTTTTTACTTTTTTATTCACAAGCGTTATCACCCACAGGAATATCTAGATAGTGACCTTGACATTTCACACAATTTGGACAGCCCAGGAATCCTTACTCTCCAGAGGGCAGAGGAAGACTACTTGTTCAGGAAGGATAGCTTAAATACATAATTATTCTATCCTTTTTATTTTTTTCTCCGTTGCTTCCCAGGATCATCTCTAGCAACAGGTCACACATTGTCAAACTACCTCTCAGCAGGGTAAGTGACCATTCTCCCTCTAAATGCTTTAAATTTCTGGCGAGGGGCAGGGAGGGGCTGTAAGCCAGCTAATCATATTGGTCCTAGATCTGCCTACCTTGCTCTGTCCATCAACTTAGTCTTTGGGCCTTAGCATATTTCCCTTGTGTGGGGTTAATGCAAGCCTGATTTTTTTCCCTATCCCCAACCCTTCCCTCCCTGATCTCGATTTCTGCTCTGTTTTCCTGATTCCACCCCCACCCTGGGCAGCAGCTGAAGTTCATGCACACCTCACACCAGTTTCTCCTGCTGAGCAGCCCTCCTGCCAAGGAGGCTCGGTTCCGGACCGCCAAGAAGCTCTATGGCAGCACCTTTGCCTTCCAGTGAGGAGGCTGGGGGCTGGGCAGTGGGGGTGGTAAGGGGGCGGGGATAAGTGAGAAGGATGCCCTTGAGATATGGGTTTGTGTTACATGTGTCCATCAACCAGTCAGCAGATACTTATTAAATGCTATTGTGGTAGGTGCTATAGAGGACAAAAAGGTACATATAACGTGATCTTTATTCTCAAACTATGATGTAGCTGAGGAAAAATGACATTTACATGTGAAAAGATGTGGCTGAAGAAATAGATTGGAGAGAATAGATCTGAAAGCTACTTTGATGGAAAAATCCACAATTTATATCTAATTGTGAGAGGAGGGAAAGAGAAAGAAAGAGAGGTATTAAAGGGAACTTATAGGGAGTGGTAGTACCCTTTTCTTAAAATAGAACATGAAGTCAGAACTGGAAGCCATATTTGGGGTCAGCAATAAATTTGTTGATTTTCAGATGAATTTATTGAATTGGAAGTGTCGGGAGAATAGGCAAATGAAAATACTGAACTAGCAGCTGAGGATTTAGGATGGGAGTAGCTGAAGCACAGAAGAGAGGATGGGACTGGAAATAGAGACGTAGAGTTTAACCAAACACATACATCTTGCATGCCTGTGATCGTATCCATGTGTATGTCCATCACTAGGTGTACCTGTCCATCTTCATGTCCTGTGTGGGTGAGAATGGGTGGGCATGGCAGTCTTGGGAGTGTTCCTGAGAACCTCATATCATAAGGAGACATGTATTCTACCCTGCCTTGCAGTGGGTCCCACATTGAGAACTGGCATTCGATCCTGCGCAATGGGCTGGTCAATGCATCCTACACCAAACTGCAGGTGAGGCTGTGCCCCTTTCCCATTTATTTCTGCCTGCTCCCTTCCCTACTCAGTTTTGTGGAAGGCTGCTGTAGAGTGAGCTGTTCTTGCCCCAGTGTCCTCAAGCCTAACCTGTCTTGTGGATTTCCCTAGAGAGGAAGTTAGAACTGTGTGAATAGAGAACGTGGCTGTTGTGTATTTGACCTCAGGCTGCGTTTTTTTGGTGGCTTGGAGAATGGGAATGTACCTGTAAGCAGGAATGTGGAATTGCTGATTGTAGCCACTGTGATGAATTAATATATTAGAGCTTTTCAATTTATATGGCTATTCATTCAAGGAGTAGATATGGGAGACTTGTTTCTATGCCCAGAGAGACTCCAGGGAGTGTGTATTGGCTCTCCTTCTGCCTCCCTGTTCTGTAGTTCTTCTTTTTTGGAATCTGCATATGTACCAAGGCCTGGAGACAGGAAAATGAATGCTGAGGGACTGACTCAGTGGTTCTACCATTTCCCACTCTCCAATGCATCAGTATGTGGTATTTCATAGGCAAGCGGGTTAACCTGCATCCACTTTTCAGCCAGTTGGCTTTCCGAGAATAGGTGCTTAGGGTTACTTGAATGAGAAGGTAGAAGGAGGGACAGAGGGCTGGATAAGCCTTGCAGCTGCCTAATAAATAGCCATGGGAGGGCCCAGGCTCATATTACTCATCCTGGTGTTTCCCTGCAAGCTGCATGGAGCAGCCTATGGCAAAGGCATCTACCTGAGCCCCATCTCCAGTATTTCCTTTGGATACTCAGGTAAGAATACTCTCTGGCCACCTTGACTCTATTTACATTGCATCCATTTGTGAGTACATGATTTGTCCTGTCTGTTCCTCTGTCATTATGGATACTTGGTCTGTGTCAGCTCTCTTCCCGATCATGGATACATATTGTCTCTCCCTCTCTCTACGTTTTGTTATTAGAAATTTAGATTCTTTACAAGGTGAGGCCAGTTACTGTTAAAAATGATAGTTTTATTCATGGCAGGGGCTTGGCTCTGGGAATGGGTGGAGGAATAACAGGGACATAACAAGGTTTTTTGTAGAACACATGTTTGGTATTGGCAATTATAGATTGTGTTTGTGTATACTTGTGCATGTAAATTTACATGTGAAAACATCCAAAGGCCTGAAGGCTTGAGTCCTTTCCATTGGCTTATATTTCTAGAGACATTGTTCTTCTCTCTCTCAACCATCTTTTAAAATTTAAACTGTCTATAATCATACACGTATTAGTCACATTGAATGCAAGATAAAGCATTTTATTCTAAAAATGAAGTCCAGATTCTAATCAGGAGATCAGTCCAGCTCAGAAAAGGAATCTGATTTAGAGTTCTCTCAGTCTTCCTGGCTCATGTCTTAGTTCCTTTTTAGTCTGCTTTTGTGCTTTTTTGATATAGTCTCTGTACAAGGTATAGCCACCATGTAGTTGCATGTTCACCACATGAAGGGGATTGTGCTAGATTCTTTATAGATTATTACTTGATATCCTCTAGTAATTTGTAACTGTTACAAAGATCAGAAAATGTAGCGCCGTCAGGAGGCTGAGGCAGGAGAATCGCTTGAACCCGGGAGGTGGAGGTTGCAGTGAGCTGAGATCACGCCACTGCACACCAGCCTAGTTGACAGAGGGAGACCCCATCGCAAAAAAAAAAAGAAAAAAGAAAGTGCCAAAATCAGAGGCCTGAAAACATTTCTAACAACAGAATAAACCAAACAAAATAGAAGAAAGGAGATAATACAGGTAAGAACTAATACCTGTGAAATAAAAATAGTTACAATAGATAGTACCAAAGAAGTCCAAGGATGATTTCAAAGAACTAACCAAACAGATAAACCCTGGTTAGATGAGAATAAAAAGGACACAATTAAATAATATAATGACCAAGAAAAGCAGTACAACTGTAGATACAGCAGAATTTAAAAAGGTAATAAAGCGGGGCACGGTGTCTTCACGCCTGTAATCCCAGTACTTTGGGAGGCTGACGTGGGCAGATCAGTTGAGATCAGGAGTTCAAGACCAGCCTGGCCAACATGGTGAAATCCTGTCTCTACTAAAAATACAAAAATTAGCCAGGCCTGGTGGCATGGGCCTATAATATAATCCCAGCTACTCGAGAGGCTGAGGCAGGAGAATCGCTTGAACCCAGGAGGCAGGCTGTAGTCGGCCAACATCAAACCGGTGCACTCCAGCCTAGGCAACAACGCAAGACTGCCTAAAAAAATAAATTAAAAAAAAGGTAATAAGAGAGTTCTCTACACTATGCTAATAATTTTAAAACTTTGATAAAATGGATAAATTCCTAGAAAAAGATAACAAATCTGACAAGAAATAGCCTGTATAGTCATAATACTATAAGAGAAATAGAAATTGTTTAAAAATTTCCACACACACAAAAAACCTCACCAAGCCCAGATAATTTTACAAATTAATTTTAAACTTTCAAGTAACAAATTATTTTAGTTTTATCCAAAGTCTTCCAGAGAATAGAAAAAATGGAATTACAAATCATAAAAGATTGGCGAATTTGACTATATTAAAATTTAAAACTTCTGGCGGGGTGCAGTGGCTCACACATGGAATCCCAACACTTTGAGAGGCTGACGTGGGAGGATTGCTTGACCTCAGGAGTTCAAGACCAGCCTGGGCAACATGGCAATACCCCATCTCTGCAAAAAATAAAAATAACCAGGTCTGGCGGCACGTGCCTGTAAGTTCTAGCTAGTCAGGAGGCTGAGGAAGGAAGATCACTGAGCCCAGGAGGTTGAGGCTGCAGTGAGCCGTGATCATGCCACTGCACTCTAGCTTGGGCAGTAGAGTGAGACCCTGTCTCAAAAAAGAAAAAAATTTAAAACTTACAGTCTTCAGAAGACACCCTAAAGAAGGTGAAAAGACAGGCTACAAACTGACAGAAGACATTTGCAGCACATATAACCACAAAAGATTAGTAATAAAAATGTATTTTTTGGCTGGGCACGGTGGTTCACGCCTGTAATCCCAGCACTTTGGGAGGCCAGTATGGGCAGATCACCTGAGGTCAGGAGTCTGAGACCATCCTGACCAACATGGAGAAACCCCATCTATAATAAAAATACAAAAAAAAAAAAAAATTAGCCAGGCATGGTGGCGCATGCCTGTAATCCCAGCTACTTGGGAGGCTGAGGCAGGAGAATTGTTTGAACCCGGGAGGCGGAGGTTGCAGTAAGGTGAGATCGCGTCGCACCATTGCACTCCAGCCTGGGTGACAGAGCAAGACTCCATCTCCAAAAAAAAAAAAAAAAGTTCAATAAAAAGAGGGAAGTCCCAGAAGACAGAGTGAGACTGTGATGCCTTTTTTATATTGTTCAAAAGCAAACAAAATAAACATTGTTTAGGCATATATATGTGTATTGTGTGTGTGTATGTGAGAAAACTAAAGGAAAAAAAAACAAAATAATAACTCAAATTGCAGGATAGTGATTACCTCCAAAGGGAGGCAGATAGTTAGATGTAGGTCACTGGTAATGTTTTAGATTTAGAATTTAGTTCTTTGATTGGGTCTCTGGGTATTCATTGTCTTATTAAAAAATAATAATGAGGCCGGGCATGGTGGCTCACCCCTGTAATCCCAGCACTTTGGGAGGCCAAGGCAGGCAGATCACGAGGTCAGGAGTTCGAGACCAGCCTGACCAACATGGTGAAACCCTGTCTCTACTAAAAATACAAAAATTAGCTGGGTGTGGTGGCACACACCTGTAGTCCAAGCTACTTGGGAGGCTGAGGCAGAAGAATCACTTGAACCTGGGAGGCGAAGGTTGCAGTGAGCTGAGATCGTGCCACTGCACTCCAACCTGGGCGACAGAGCAAGACTCCGTCTCAAAAAAACAAAACCAACAATGTGTCATGAAACAAAGGTTATGATTAATCCACACAGGGCAGGTGACCAACACATATTTATTGAATATGTGAGTGAATCTTACTCTCTGTGCCTGGCATCCAAAGTGGGGTTAGGGTTGGGATAGTCTTTTTGATTTGTCTAGATTCTTCACTTTTTATCTTTGTCTCAGCCTAAGCATCCTTCTGATTAAGTTCTTTTGTCTTTCTGAGTAGTGAGATTCTCATGGTTCTTGGTGCCCATTGAGATTCTTTCCCGTTTTCTCCCTATCCCCTCCCTTTCTTTCTCTTTTCTCCCCCTGGCCTTTGTTTACTATCAAGTGCCTGAATACCTTTAGTTACCAGATGAAGTCAGAAATCTCTGTTGACCTCTTGTCTTTCTTCATCACTTAACCGATTACATAAAGATATCATAGACACCTTTCATCTCCCTCTCTCAAAGGGTAATTGATTATAGATACAAAATACAATAGAATTTTACTATTGGAGTTATAGATCATCTAATTTAATCCCTTATTACTTTACAGATAAGAAAGCTGATATACAGAAAAATTAAATGGTTTTCTCATGGTTACATAGCTATGAGTAGCAGAGATAGGGCTGCAATCCAGGTCTCCTAATTTCTAGGCCATTGTTGTTATCACTATATGATACAGTTTGGCTGTGTCTCCACCCAGATCTCATCTTGAATTCCCATGTATTGTGGAAGGGACCCAGTGGGAGGTAATTGAATCATGGGGGCAGGTTTTTTTTTAGATGGAGTCTCTCTCTGTCGCCCAGGCTGGAGTGCAGTGGCGTGGTCTCAGCTCACTGCAAGCTCCACCTCCCGGGTTCACGCCATTCTCCTGCCTTAGGCTCCCGAGTAGCTGGGACTACAGGTGCCCACCATCACGCTCTGGCTGATTTTTTTTGTCTTTTTGGTAGAGACAGGGTTTCACTGTGCTAGCCAGGATGGTCTCGATCTCCTGACCTCATGATCTGCCTGCCTTGGCCTCCTGAAGTGCTGGGATTACAGGCGTGAGCCACTGCGCCCGGCCCATGGGGGCAGGTTTTTCCAGTGCTGTTCTTGTAATAGTGAATAAGTCTCATGAGATCTGATAGTTCTATAAGGGGGAGTTTTGCTGCACAAGCTCTCTCTTTGGCTGCCACCATCCATTTAAGATGTGACTTGCTCCTCCTTGCCTTCCACCATGATTTTGAGGTCTCCTGAGCCATGTGGAACTGTAAGTCCATTAAACCCTTTTTTCTATATAAATTAGCAAGTCCTGGGTATGTCTTTATCAGCAGTGCGAAAATGGACTAATACATTATTTTAGACTGAAAGAGTAGGCCTTGCTTGAATGACGGGTCTCTGAGGGCCCTATAGATATGTGAGTATGTATAATGGGATGTTTGGGGAAATGTGTGCAAATGTTCCACTTACTGTAGTTACTCCAGCATTTAACCAGCTGTCTTGTATGTTTTCTTCTATGCTATTCTGCTCTGGTTTTCTGTTTTTTCTTTCTCACACTATCTTTAGTCTAATGGCATTGGGTGCCCTCTGGAAGTGGGGGTTGGTGTAAATAGTGTTCATATATCTAGTAGAGGTTCCAGTGACTTGGCTATAAAGTTCAGGTTGAAATAGGGGACAGTGAAAAAGGAGGTGATATACTCCATCTGTTTGTTTAGTCTTGTTTAGGGACTTCTGATAAGTGCATAATCTGGACACAAAACATCTAGGGATTATTCTAGCCACCATGATCTCAGGGTCTGGGCTCAGGAAATGGACAATCATTGGATCAGTATGGAAAGGACAGTGTACAACAGGATTGAGGTGGGACAAGATTTGGGTTCTATCATAAGGGCCATCTTTAAGACCTTCCAGAGGAATCAGATTGTTCTTTATTATCTTCTTTTCTGCCTCCTCTGGAGTATAACCTGAATGGGAATTTTACTTCTTGTCACTGACATACCCAATTTGAGAGAAGGTCATGGTATTTGGATGGAGAGCTGAATCTAGTTAAGGCTAATGGGGAAGGTGAAAACAAAGGGGTTATGAGTATCTGTCCTGTAAAAGGAAGAAATTGGCAATTCAAGCCTTGAGGCTCTTGGTGTCCTGAGTTCTGTTCTGGCCCTACCTAAATCTGTCCTGAGACTTGAATGTGAATGCATGATGAATTGACAGCCTGAGCAGTGAAGAATGTCAGTTCAACAGCTGTCACTCTATTTCTACACCATGAGTATCAGAAAACCAAGAACTAATCAGAGTAGAATTAATAATATTAGAAAGTTCCAGGGCAGAATGATCAGAGTGCTTATGACCTATAATGATAGCATCATCTCCATCTTCATCTCTCTCCCTGGTGGACACACACACAGGCACCTATGTCCACACATGCATACACACTTTTATCCCTATCTGTGGTAAGATTGGGCCTATGATAAAGCTGAGTACAGAGACTTAACGTCCTATCCTCAAACCAGAAAAAGTGAGGAGTGGGAGCACACAAGCACATTTTCATATCTAAATAAGAAAAGTCGAAGTTGAGTCTATAAATGTTATAAACAGGGGTAAGGAAGGTAGAGAGTTTATGGATTCAGATAATGTGGAAACTGGAAGAAATGGGCACTTCTTTCTCAAGCCTAGGAAAACTTTTTGAAGTAAGATTCTTCAAGGTAGTTGCCATTGTGATTTCCTGTACAAAATTATTCATCACTTAACTGCTGATGAGTGCTTTTCTCTTGAATTACTGGTCAGATTTTTAATGTAACTTTGAGACTAGAGCAAATCTGACTTGCTCTGCTCGTCAGATTCATTTCACTCATCCAGGCACTTGACACCAAGGTATTGATGTCTCACTCTCCTGGGCCCCTCATTCCTGGATGATTTCATGTGCTCCTCCCCTATCTTAGAACCCTGCAGTGGTTCCCTAATGTTCTGAGGATAGACTTTAGTTGCCTTAACATGGCCTGCAAAGCCTGCTTGATCTGATCCTAGCTTGCCTCTTCTACATCATTTCTCACCACTCCTGTGCAATTGACTATTCTTTATGTGACTAACACGCACTATCTTATCTTTCCTTCAGGCCTTCTGTATCCTGTTACTTCTGTCCAGATACTTCCTCCCTGTTTATTTAATTAACTCTTCCTGATCCTGCAGTTCTTAGTCTAGCTCTACCACATGACTTCTTTAAACCCTTAGGCTAGGCTGGTTGCCCTCCTCTGGGCTCACACCATGCTCTATAATCTGCATCACAGCCCCTTACCATACCGTGTTATAATTACTTGTTCTTGCCTATAATTTCCAGCAGACTAAATTCTGTGGGGGAAAATATCTTGTTTGTTTTATTTTCTGCTGTTTTGATGAGCATCTAGCTCAGTGCTGGGATGAGCATCTAGCTCAGGCCCTTTAGTAAATTTTTGATAAATGAACTGGGTGTATTGTTCTGTGACAGGAATGGGAAAAGGACAGCACAGGATGCCCTCCAAGGATGAGCTGGTCCAGAGATATAACAGGATGAATACCATCCCCCAGGTATTGGAACTGTTCTAATGAGGCAGGACCTTTTCCTGGGGCTAATTTAGGCTCCAGAGCTGGACAGGGAAACAGTGGGGTGAGAATGGGTTGGGGAGTGATTTGAAGATCATTTAAAGGAATCAGGTATGTTCTAAAGTGAACACATGTCTGGAGTCATATGTAGCCAAAGTCATGAGTATAAAAGCAGAGGCTGAGTTTAGATGAAAATGTAAAGATGGAAGCTGTCACCCTATCCAGACTGATTATGGGACAGCAGAATTTTGGCAGGGGTTGCTGGGAGCCCAGGATATCTCTGATCCCCACTTCCAGTCATCAGCTAACTAGCCTGTCTGGGGAAAGCCGTACCCTGGCTCTGGTCTCCTTTGCCTCCTTCTCTTCCAGACCCGATCCATTCAGTCAAGGTTCCTGCAGAGTCGGAATCTAAACTGTATAGCACTTTGTGAAGGTAGGTAGCTTGCCCATGTCTTATTTTTCTGGGTCTCTAACCTTTGTTTCTGATGTAATTTTGGCACATGATCTGGCCAAGAGTGATGTTAAAGCGGTATGGCTTCCTTCTCTTGCCTGGACTCCATGCCTTAAGCATTGTATCTATGATTTCTGGCCCTCTTTCTCCCAGTGATTACATCTAAGGACCTCCAGAAGCATGGGAACATCTGGGTGTGCCCTGTATCCGACCATGTCTGCACAAGGTTCTTCTTTGTGTAAGTCTCAGAGGGACTCTGGGGATTCCTCGAGGAGTGAGGTTGGGGGTGTAATGGTGTGTGGTTACTGGGAAAAGTGTATTTCTGTTATTTGAGACATGTCCTTGGCTAGCTGAGTGGAGCTGGCACTGGGACTTTACCACTGGAGGATGGGAATGGGTATAGATTGTTGGGATCTATCTAGAGGAAACCAGATAAGCTGAATCTCTTCCACTATGAAGAGTAGTGAGAAAGGGCTTTGACTTCTGGGATGGGATGGCCATACCTTCAAATACAGTTTCACTGATTGATGTTATTCTGGTATTGTTCTCCCTCTTACGCTCACACTTGCCCTATCTTTGGCAGATATGAGGATGGTCAGGTGGGCGATGCCAACATTAATACTCAGGACCCCAAGATACAGAAGGAAATCATGCGTGTGATCGGAACTCAGGTTTACACAAACTGAGGGGGCCCCAGCCCTCGTACCACCCCTGTTACCCCAGGATCCATCTGCCCTTATAAAAGTGTTCAGGTACAGCAACTGAGGCTGCCCTGAGGAATCAAGGGGCCATTACCAAGGGGCAGGAAAAGGATATGTAAGAGGTGGCCTTCATGGTGGAGCTTGACCAAGAACTACTCCACATTTGGATGGCCCAGACTGGCTTCAACCCCTGACTTTCCCTTTGACTTCACCCTGTTTGTAAATAAAACAATAAAATGGAAGGTGCTGTGGACTGGATATGATCACTGTGGTCTGACTAGCTTTGGAGCAGCACCTGCCCCAAGCCCTCACAAGGGGCAGGGGGGTGGGGAGAATGGAATATCCTGTGGGTTGGGACTGTTTATGTTGCATGGTATCAAAGTTGTGTCCATTTATTGTAGTATACTACAGATCTGTCAGCTTTTTGATCAGTGTATTAAAGGGAAACTTACCAGTTGTGCAGATGAAACAAACCGAGAATATGGAATACCAATAATGACTATTAGTCAAAATTTAAAAGGGCCATTGAGGCCAGAGCAGCTAAGATTTACTGCCTTTAGGGCCTATTGCTTTCTGCACAAACCTGCCCAGTCTCCCTTGCTCTATATCTCAAGAACTGAGCCCCTACTCTCTTTCTCCTCCATCCTATTTCTTTGGGGTAAGTGAGGTTAGGGGAGAACTGGTGGGAGCAGGAAGTGGGGTTTATCTCTCAGTCGAAATCTATAAAGACATCCTAAGGGAATGCAGCTTCACTTAATGAAACAGCCCCAATTTCGCCAAGGTTAGCAAGGTGGTAAAGGAAGGCAGCTCTTTCTAGGAAACCTCATTGTTTTAGTGAATTTTTTCTTCTCCCTGTTGAAATTCCCATTTCAGCTTTTTGCTGTCCTTTTCAGGCTGTGCTTCATGTACCCCAAATCCTTAGTTATAAGCATAGATGGCTGAGTCGGACATTTCCAAATATTTTATGAAATTTTTTTTTTTTTTGGAGACACGGTCTTACTCTGTTGCCTTGACCTACCAAGCTCAGGTGATCCTCCCACCTCAGCCTCCCAAGTAGCTGGGACCACAGGCAGGTGCCACCACGCATGGATAATTTCCATACTCTTTGGAGAGAGAGCATTTCACCATGTTGCCCAGGCTGGTCTCCAACTCCTGGGCTCAAGCCATCCGCCTCTGTCGGCCTCTCAAAGTGCTGGGATTACAGACTTTATGAAATACTAATGAAGAAAAATGGTCAGGCGCGGTGATTCACGTCTGTAATCCCAGCACTTTGGGAGGCCGAGGAGGGTGGATCACGAGGTCAGGAGATCGAGACCATCCTGGCTAACTATAAGATGTGAAACCCCATCTCTACTAAAAATACAAAAGTTAGCTGGGTGTGATGGTCCAGCCTTCAGCTACTCGGGAGGCTGAGGCAGGAGAATGGCCTGAACCTGGGAGGCAGAGCTTGCAGTGAGTGGAGATCGCACCACTGCACTGCAGCCTAGGTGACAGAGCAAGACTCCATCTCAAAAAAAAAAAAAAAACCAAAAGAAAAGAAAAACAGGAATATAAGCACAGAGAATACAAAAAGCATTAAATAAGCCTGGCATTTCAAGGATAGGTTTTTCTTTTTCTTTTTTTTTTTTTTTGAGACGGAGTCTCGCTCTGTCACCCGGCTGGAGTGCAGTGGCCGGATCTTAGCTCACTGCAAGCTCCGCCTCCCGGGTTCACGCCATTCTCCTGCCTCAGCCTCCCGAGTAGCTGGGACTACAGGCGCCCGCCACCTCGCCCAGCTAGTTTTTTGTATTTTTTAGTAGAGACGGGGTTTCACCGGGTTAGCCAGGATGGTCTCGATCTCCTGACCTCGTGATCCACCCGTCTCGGCCTCCCAAAGTGCTGGGATTACAGGCTTGAGCCACCGCGCCCGGCCGGATAGGGTTTTCTTAATCTGTTGTAGTTTAATTTACAAAGCCCACTCTAGATTACCTGTTGTCTTTCGTTACGTTCACCGTACTTTAGAGGTACCTTCTTGCCTGGGTACCTTACCCTGGTTTTTAGTTCTGACCTGCTTTAACATGCAAGTACCATTCTTAAGGTCCATCCCTCTAGAAGCTATTTCTTAAACTTTGCTCATTCTTGATCAACACTAATACGTTCTAATTTACAAGTCTCCTAAGCCCTCTTCTCCTTTTCTGATTTCAGGTCTAGGAAATAACATCTTCACCAAGTAAATGACCTCATCCCTGAGCCCACTCTAACTGAAATACCTGCCTCCTGAGAGGACTTTGTGCCCATCTCTGTAGTAGTAGAGATAGCTGACATTTTCTTTAGTTTTTACTAAGAAGGTGCTGACATTATGCTGAGCACTTTAATAATTTGTTAACACTTTGGGTTACTTACTGTGTGCTCGGTATTAAAAGTTTTCTTTTCTTTTTTTTTTTTTTTTTGAGATGGAGCTTCACTCTTTTTGTCCAGGCTGGAGTGCAGTGGTGCCATCTCAGCTCACTACAACCTCCGCCTCCCCAGTTCAAGTGATTCTCCTTCCTTAGCCTCCTGAGTAACTGGAATTACAGGCATGCACCACCACGTCCAGCTAATTTTTTGTATTTTTGGTAGAGACGGGGTTTCACCATGTTGGTCAGGCTGGTCTCGAACTCCTGACCTCAGGTGATCCACCTGCCTTGGCCTCCCAAAGTGCTGGGATTACAGGGGTGAGCCACCGCGCCCAGCCAATATTGTAAGTTTTCTACATATATTGAGTCATAATTCTCAGAACAAGCCTGTGAAGTAGGTGTGATTATTCCTATTTTGTAGATGAGAAAGCAGAGACACAGAGCATAAGTAACTTATGTTCCACAGCTAGTGACAGGCTGCCTGACTCCAGACTGCTGTTCTGGTTCTATGCTGTAAAGTGTTCAAACTTTACAAATATTTTTTCATTTAATCCTGACCACAAAGCTGGAAGATAAGTTTTCTTTAGAGATCTTAAATAATGTATCTAAGGCCCCACAGCTGGTTAGTGGCAATGTTAAGTTTTGCTTTTTGGTTTTTTATGAGACTTGGTCTCAGTCTCACCTAGGCTGGAGTGCAGTGGTGTGATCATAGCTCATGTAACTTTGAACTCCTGAGTTCAAGTGATCCTCCTGCCTCAGCCTCTCAAGTAACTATTACTACAGGCATGTGGCACCGTGCCTGGCTAATTTCAAAAAAATTTTTGTAGAAATGGGATCTTGCTATGTTGCCCAGACTGGTCTTGAACCGCTAGCCTCAAGCAGTCCTCTCAAAGTGCTGGGATTACAGGCATGAGCTACCGTGCGCAACCAGTGCTGTTTTTAACTAGATCTGCCCAACTCCAGAACCTGAGTTCTTTTAACCACTCTGTTATCCTAGACCTTCTCCAGGTGTTCTCACTGATGTTCCAGCAACTGAACTTTGGTGTGTGGCTACTCAAATGGTGTAACAACATTTCTGTTCAATTTCAAAGATTGTTAATAGATTTTTCTCAGTTGTAAACATTTCTTACAGTTTCTCTGTATCACTGACATCCAATATAGCAGTACTAGCAAATGATGGAATGAGAAGGAACAGATGGTGTATATTACCAGAAAAACTCAAATAGCTGAGCTAGCCTATGGGTGTCACTTAACAAAAAAAAAGCATCTGTATAATAATCTTTTTATGCCAATAAAATTGTAATAAAATTAAATACATCATTTCATAGTACCACAGAAAAGCAATAGGACTTTTTGGATCTAAGAAGTTTAGAAGCTACAGATGATATCTTAACGTATATGAGGTAAAACAAATATAATTAAAACCCCACAAATACAAGAATGCCTTCATTGTAGGGAAACTTGGGTGGGACCCTGAGTTTCTGGAGAGGAATCCTCCCACAGCCTGGAGGGGGAATTGAGGTAAAGTTGCCCCTTTTCTCTGCCCAGGTCTGGTTCTTCTGGAAGTGGGGAAGCTGGAGCCTGTGAAACCCAGGTGTGAGCAACAAGGCATTATCCTTCACAGGGCCAAGCCTATTGCAAATACCATAAATACAGGTTGACAGGGGTCTACCTTTCACATAGTCCTCAGCTCAAGCAGTCTCACTTCATAGACCTGGACATGCTTGGTTAGGACTAGGGTCAGGAAAAGAACTATTTTCTTCATTAGTTCCAGGTACAGAGTAGATGGCTATTTTTATTTTTTATTTTTGTGGGTACATAAATAGGTATATATATTTATGGGTTACTTGAGTTATTTTGATACAGGTATGGAATGCACAAATCACATCAGGGTAAGTGGGATATCCATCACCTCAAACATTTATCTGATTCTTAGGTTGAGAAATTACAAACCCCTGGAGTTTAACCTTCTGTTTCCCTCCTCCTGGTAATTTTCCATCAGGCAGGGTGTGACCATGACTCAGTTTGTGGTGAGGATGTGGCCATCCATTGGGGAGGAGCCTGCTTGATTCTGCGTTTCATTCTGGCTGGTGGGCAGAGGGGAGAAGAGTCTGGTGCTGAGTCATTACTGGGTTTCTTAACGGGCTTCTCACAGAATGGATTCTGAGATGGAGGTTTGAGGGATGCCACAACTTCTGGGACCAATTCAGGAGTGGTGTAGAGGAAGCTCTGTGGGTCATGTAATTCCTCTTAGAGCCCTCCTCCCCCAGGAGAAGTGGGAATAAGGTAGGCTGCAGTTCATTTGAAGATTCATTGGCTCCTTTGAGCACAGGACTTGCCACAAATGCATCAGACCTCTCCTCCTCTCACAGTGAGCCAGAGATGCCACTATAAGTTAAAAATTATTTTGCTGGCTGGGCATGGTGGCTCATGCCTGTAATCCCAGCACTTTGAGAGGCCAAGGTGGGTGGATCACGAGGTCAGGAGATCGAGACCATCCTGGCTAACACAGTGAAACCCTGTCTCTACTAAAAATACAAAAAAAATTTAGCCGGGTGTGGTGGTGGGCGCCTGTAGTCCCAGCTACTCAGGAAGCTGAGGTAGGAGAATGGCGTGAACCCGGGAGACAGAGCTTGCAGTGAGCCAAGATGGCGCCACTGCACTCCAGCCTTGGCAACAGAGCAAGACTCCGTCTCAAAAAAAAAAAAAAAAATTATTTTGTTTAGGAGAACACCCAAAGTCTTCTCAGTCCTAGCTGTCCTTCCTGGGATAAATGGGTCAGATTAGCTGGCAGCCAATGAGCAAGGGCAGACACAGGTGAAGAGTGGAAGTGTGTTAGGGAAAAAGCAGACTGGTAGAACTAAAGCCAGAGGACCCCTGGGG